TTGTAATAACTGTAATTCCAATACTGTTTTGGGCTGTGTCAAAGCCTTCTGCTTGACCTACTGTGGCTTGTGCTTTGGAGAAAAGCAACATACAAATGAGTAATGTAAATGTAACGATACATATAGGATGTGTGTGACTTTGCAGAGATCAATATACATCCACACCCACCAGATAAAAGACTAATCATTCCTTCTGTTTCTGTGAGTGGTAACAAACAAAGGCAGAAAATTGCTGCTGCACATCACTGTATCTACAGAGACAAAGTTATGACCCATAGATGGGTCAAAGTATAATAAAAATAGATCCCCATCTTCCTCTTGTCAAATTTGAGGTATCCATAGCTACTGGTTGTAACTGCTACAACCCATCTAAGACCCAGTGCTATATAGGCTAGTAAACTTCGAAGAACCAATTTAGGTACTGTAGGATCACATTTTGAACACTGTGTTTTCCTTGATTTACATAGTCACAATACATCTGCAAAATCTGTTTTGTGCTATGAAAAAAATCAACCCAAAAAAATCAGCAAGTTCGGTCACTGGTTGAAGAAGAAAAAAAGAAGAAAATAATAAAACCGCCTTCCCCAGAGATGAAGTTTGGGAACTTACAGGATAGTGTGGTTCATCTGACCAGTGTTATAGCCCTCTGCCTGCCTGCTCGACACAGCACCATTCTAATACCACGCTGCTTGGCATTCAGCACGCTGCTCTTGCTCTCTCTTTCTCCTGGCACCATCCCTCCCTCCTTCGCTTCACCTCTTTCTCTCTCTCTCTTTTTCAGCAGCATCTCTCATCCGCTCCTCTTCCCTGGTGAGGTGAGATTGCGCCACTGAACTGGCATCTGTTGCAACACACGTGCACACAAACAGACACACACACACATACACACTGTGTGGACATTTAAACCCCTACTGTAGTGGACAGCATGTCGCTGTGTTGAGAGTATCATGATGACATATTTTGGACATAAAAACTATATAGCAGCGTGTTGCCATATCACACGTCTTAACACGTAGAGCTTCATGGAGAAATATTCTCACCTTATGTTCCTTTTATCCTCTCATTTCTTATTCATTCTTCCTCTTTTCCTCATCCCTTTTCCTCTCCCTCATAAAAAAGTCTTTTCCTTTTCTTTTTCCACTCCTTCCTCTTCTCTTCACCAACCCTTTCTCCCTTCTTTTCATTTCTCAATACATTCCCTTCTCTTCTCCTTCTCCTCTCACTGCTTCACCTAAACACTTCATTTATTCCTAATCAACCAGCCTTGTTGAATAAAGGTGAAGTCCCCCAACAGCCTGCTATGTTCCTTTTGTTTTTCTCTTTACTACATCCAGGGCCTCTCATTTTTATTTTCTTGAGCATGTCCTTCCTTGCATGTCTTTCATCACTGCAACATCAATTCGTTTTTTTTTCTCTTGCAAATGTTAAACCTTCACTGCAGCCTCATATTCCCATCTCCTTGCACCCTTTCTTTTTCAAAATAAAAAACATACCTGTTCAACTATCCATGCGACAACGTGTACATGTAGTCTATACTGAGTTAGAAACCCCACTGTGTGTACCTGCAGACCTATACATCACTTCCCCACAGAGATTAAAGTGTTTTTCCTTCCCTCTCTGAAACTCATTGAGTTTCTCTGTGTGAGTTATATTTCTTTTCTGCTGTCTCTCTCACTCATAGACACATCAATCAATTACACTTACTCTCCTCCAGCTTCATCATTCAATCTGGCATTGGCAGGATGAACGGTATTTTACATGGCACCAAAAATAGAAGGCTTTATTGTTCAAACATAGTTCACAAAGCGCTTGGATCTCTTGAGAAAGCGTGGCTACTGAAGAGTCCAAACCACACTGACAGACAGACCTTTGTCACTCAGGGTTTATAATAGTTTAATCTATCAAAAGACTTTTAGTACCAGACAGTACCAGATTTTGTTACTGTAATAAAGGACCAAAGTCAAATTGAACTGATTTTATTCCATCCTTTAAAAGTAATCTAAAATACCCTCATTCACCTTAGAATCACGCCTTCCTCTTCCAGTCTTTGACCACAGTTCAATAAACTGTAAACATGACAAAGTACCATGCATGGTCAGCTCTTGTAGAAGCAGGGGAAGTGTTAAGAGACTCTCACTCTTTAATGGTCACACGCTATCTCCCATCAATTTCCCACCTCTTTCGCACTCAATTAGGAGGAACCCTGCCATTTGCTAATCTAGGTACAGCCACTTGCAAGGGCAGCGGCATGCGTATGACTGTGGTGTTCAAAACGATGTGAGGTTTTGACAGTTTTCTCACACTTTCTGGCCCCTGTTATCCCTGAATGTTTTCTGAAACCTTCAGCCTAAATCCCAGTAAGCCAGAGGGATCATGAAGTGGCACTTTCATGGCCTGTTTTCATACCAGGAATCAGGGTCAAACGAGTCTCTGGCCTTCAACGTCTGCAGGAAATTTCTGCTTTTCTTGCGCTCACCTTAGAACTGGTTTTATAGTACATGTTAGTTTAGTATATAGTATATGTTCTGACATATGATATTTAAAAGACTTTTTTTTTTTTTTACATTTAAAAGGCTTATATAAATAATATATGCTTAGTGGCATTCTTGTCCAGGGTTACAAAGGATGAAAGATATCACTCTCACGTATAAATGTAGCTGGGGCTAGCAGTTAGTTCAGCGTAGCATAAAGACTGGAAGCAAGGGGAAACAAGTAGACAATCTCCAAAGATAACAAAATCTACCTACCAGCACCACCTAAACTTAACAAATTAGCACATTTGTCTAATGAATGCCAAAACTGAAGTGTAAAAATGACACATTGTGGTTTTACAGGGGATTATGTGACTATTCTGCCTGGGCACAGTAACTACTTGCCGTCTTCTCATCGCCGTAAGGTTGTCAGTCTCACCTTATGCCTCACCTTTCTGCAACATCACCAAAAATGCTCAGAGCCATTGCTTTAGAAAACACCACTGTTGTTGATTAGTGTCTTTGCATGCACAGATATATCCAATTATTTTTACGACACTCAAGTGTTCTGTTTCAGAGTTGGTTCATGTGAATGTCATGAGAAAATTACAATAAAATAGCTGGACCATACAATTTATTCCTCAGGCACTTTATCCAATTTTTTTTATGTTTTAATCACCTGTGGAAACTCAGTTTCCATGGCAGTGTGAGAATATTCAGTTTATTCACGTATAGTGGCATTCATGAGTGGGATATGATGATCAAATAAGAGCTTGACCAGAGTATGAGCTATAGCATAGAATACTGTGTGCATGTTGGGACGCTGACAGAGATGTCACTAACCAGGATGATATAGAGTCCAGGCCTAGCTCATTACAGCACTCTCTAGGACTGCACCAAATACTAATTATACACATAAGTATGACTGAAATTAATTTGTGTGTTGATTTGGAGAAAAAGTCTGCCTGATTTCTTCTGTGGGCATATTTGCTATGTTTTAGGCTCTAAACTAAATCTTAATAAAATCTTCAGTTAGTATTTGAGTTAAATGCCATCATGCAAGTGGGGTCATGATCAAATATACAAGCAAGTGCTTTTTTACGATCCCATTTACATCCAGCATTTTCAACTGCAGTGCAGCATGTTAAGATACTCAGTAACGGCACAATATGACTAAATGCATTAAGACTGTGATCTGGAATGCATTAACATTTCACAAAAAAAATTTAAAATCTTTCAAGACTCTGCTTAGACAGTGTTTCAAGCCACATTCAAACACGATGCATCAATACAAGCAAGAATGAATGAAAGAATGTGGGCAAGAAACACTGAAATATGTGAAACAAGGCTTCAGCTAAGCCACATGTATACACATTTGGGGACAGAAATGGAAAACCAGCGAACGACTTCCTCCAAACCTCATTTAATCTCGCATGTGTGTTTACATGAGTTTTACGGTGGCTTAGAGCCATTGCGAAACCTCATCAAAATGCAAATGGGGCAGTTAGGGACGGGGAAATGTTCCAGGTAAAGAAGAGCTGATGAGCTGACATGGCAAACTAAATTTTTGGCAGTGTGCAGCTTTTTGTGGTTTCCTCCTTTTCTCTCTCTGCGTCTCTCTTTCTGTCTTCACGGTGCAGCAATGACCATTACGCAGCAATCCATTGAATAATACCATACAGCTGCTACAGCATAGCACTGCTAGAGTGATCCCATTCCTCTCCTATATCTTCTCCACCGTTTGCCCCGACTGCTTCTCTCTGCCCTCCCAATCTTTTTTCATTCCATTACCTTCTCCTGTCCTCTCCTATTTTCTCTACTCACCTTTTCCAGCAGCCCTCCCTCTCACCTGCTATTATGTCTTCTCCTCTTCCCTAAACACCTATCAGCCATCCTCTCCCCTCTGCCCCTGTATTCCATCACATCAACCCTCTTTCCTATGCAACTCAGTTTTAAATCGCTCTAGTCTCGCTTCTCCCCTACTACTGCCCTCCTCTCAATTCTGCTCTCCTAAATTTGATGAATTGCACTCCCCCCTCTCTTCAGTTTCTCTTCTGTATCCATCCACCCTCCTCTAAACTCTCAGACTCCTCTTTGCCCCTTCTCCTCCCATGTTGTTTAATCCACCTGCTATTTTATGGCATCTCTGCTCAAATCTTACCCCATCTCATCCCCTCATCTGTTTCACACCTATTTCTTCACGCTTCCCATGCTGTGGCACCCCAGTCAGCATCTCTCCCCTCCCCTCCTGTAGTTGATCTAGAGAAAGGATATCACCATCTCTAAATCGTATGGGAGAGAAAACACAAGCGCCATTATCTCCCCATCTGCCTTCTCTTCTCTATCTCTCTCTTTCTCTCTGTGTGTGTACTCAACTCGGCTCTTCTAAAATTACAAATCAAGCTCTCAGAAACGTTCCGGCACAGATAAGCGAGAAGACACAGAAAGCAGAGTGTGATTGAGGGAGGAGAGGAGAGAGGAAATTGTGCCATAATCGGACAGACGAGAAAAGTGGATAAAGAGACATACCTGCGCGTCTCTCACTCCTCCTCTCCGGTTGGGTGGAGGCTATTTCTCCTCCGGTTATCTGCCCTCTTATCAAGCCAGGCAAAGAACTCCAATCAGCAAAGAATATGTTAAATAATCCTCCTCCTGGTCAGACAATTTTTTAAACCAAATAAGAAATCAGATCCACTTTTTGAGGGGGTCTTGCGCCGCGGAAGGCTGGCCGCACCTGGAGTGGTGGTGGGGCAAACGAGGCGTTTCAATTTAGTTCCCGTTGAGTTTGCATTAAAAGCCCGTTACGGGTAGACGACCGGTGATAGCCTATAGCCTACAGCAACCCAGTGATCCACTGGGACAGAACTGTGAGCGTGGAAAAAACGCCGTTAAACCGGCGCACCGCCGCGTTGCGCACTCGTTTGGTCTCCACATGAGCTCCCCGCGTTACCGTTAAGATCCGTTAACCGGTCATTTAAAGGGAAAATACCCGTCCGCCGGGGGGTAATTTCGCTGGAATCCAGTCTCGAGTTAAAGAGTAGAGGCAAAGCAATGAACTAGGGAGAGTGAGGGAACGTCTTTGTAGGCTACTCGGTGAAACCGGACACGGTCGTCGTTTGAGGCTAATCAGCCGGTCTCCACGTAAACTCCCCTAGATGCTCTTTGCTCCCCATTCAGCAGTTGTCATTCCTGCACCAGCATCACATTTCACTCACTCACAGCTCTTTGCATTGGAGCTGCACTTGTTTGTAGAGTAATAATCCTCTCTTGCTGTTGGTCGGTAGAGTAAAATTGAATAACAAGAGTACAAATGGGTAGATAAGGGACTTTAGACTCAGAGAAGCTTGGTAAATGGTCGCCCCCCACCCTCCCCGCTTTTCAGCCACCGAAGTGACTTTGTCTTGACCTCTCTTGTCTCCGCGTCGTTCTCCAAGGAGAAACACCGGACAACTGTGCGTGCTGTCCAGGTTGATGGCAGCCTATAGAGAGAAGCGTTATAGATCAGAAAAAGCAATTTTCAGATAAAAGGGTGATAAATCCTGCTGGGAAACTAGCTTCAAATCATGTCCTCCTTTCCCCTGTCGTTAAAAAGCGCTCTGTTCCGCCACGGTGAGCATCTCCGTCCCCTCCTGCAGTTACTTTCACACTGTGCGGCGATTTGTCCCGGGAGGCGATACGCCTACCAGCTCCTCTTCTGTCTGCCTTCTTCCCCTTGTATCCGTGTCCTGCTCAGTTTATTGACAAGTCGCTGCTCTGGGATTTACAATAACGGATGGATTCGTTATGACGACTGTGCGTGATGACAACGCAGGGCGTTTGCCTGGGAGAAGTGGCTGATATAGTTTGGGTCTCAGACACAACAGACATGGCCAGAGGTTCAACGTGAGGCACTTGGACCTTAAAAGGGCCGTGGGAACGCAAGTAGGCCTACTTACTTACATAAAAAATAAACTAGTTCCATTGTATGATTGTATAATTATTAATTATGATTTTACTTTTTATCAGGTCATATTACTACACACAAAAGTGATTGTGTCTTTTTTTTAAATAATGTCTTTAAACGCCTTTAATAGCAGATATCTACAATGAGACAGCAGTACAATATAATAATATCTATTAAAATCCCATCTTACTGCTTTGATATAAATGTTCTCACAAGCTCCAAAACATAGAGGCCTACAGTATAAATGCCCATTTTCTTTAATATTTAAAATATGGTGTTGGCTGAAATAACCTAGGTGAACTAATTGCCAATGGAGGTGAAATTGATATGGTACACATGAAGCTTCCCCTAACAGTGGGCAACCTCACTTTAGGAAGTTGCTGTGGCTGGCCAAGACATAGTTTATGTCACCTCTGTAAAACCACAGCATATTGCTTACAGCTGAAACAACTTAAATATGATGTGAGCTGAGATTAGTGAGGTTTGGAGGTGCTTATTTTCACCTAATTATTATCAGCTGGTCCCCATGTTAGCTGTTTTGACACACTTTAATAATTTGTGATGCCGCATAATTCGTCTATGGGAAGAAAATCCCAAACATTATACTTGTATTAACCACTTGGGGGTGGGGAAGAGCAGCGTGGTTTACTGACAGCTAAACAATATGAAATGAGTGTGGCATTTGGCATAGACCTTTCTGTTAATGGTTCACTGACATATTATGCAGATGTAAGTGACTTCCTCTTAGACACAGTTAACTGAAGCATGTGATGGTGAGGTTGCTCAGTGGCTGCAGTGATGAAAGCCACCATCAGAAATGGGTGAAACAGCTGACACAGGAGTCGGATTAGAGTGCTCACTTTACAGATTCTGCCAGATTTCATGGATTATAAGTGTGAGTGTTTTATAATTATCTGATTAGCAAGATATGGGATACATTTGATGATGCAATGCTGGCAGAACACAAAATAGTTCTGGGTTGACGTTTGTGGTAGGGTGTGAGGGACGGTGGGGGGGGGGTATTAAAGATATATAGAGAATAACTAAGGCAGAAAGGAAGGCAGAAATAATCAGATGAGCAAAGGATGTCCAGAGATCACACTGGGGCCAGGACAATGTTCTACAAGTTCTATAACCTCAATCAAAATAGAAACACCTCTGGGCTGTATAGGCTAAAGGTCAGTCTAATAAAGAAAAATGTGTTTGTGTGTGAGAGAGATGGACAGAGGGAGGGTGTGAGAGACAAATTCTAGGTGTGGGGGTTTTTGAAGTTTATTTTTGGAAACAACATGTGGCATTTGAAGGCATAATGTGAAAAGCTGTGATCTCACTGCTCCCAAGGAAAGGTGAGGGGGCACTTTCCCTCTGCAAGGCACTTGGTATGCAGGAGTCAAGGATGTGTAGCTACCTTAATTCAAGTCAATTTGTACTTTTTTTATTTTGTACAAAATACAAAAATACATTCTAGAAGTCAAAAAGAGTATCCAGTCAGTTTCCACTGATTAAATAATTAGTCAACTGACAGTTGACTGACAGATAATCTTGATAATCTAGAAAGATATATAAGATATTTATCAAGGAAACTTTATTTGTTTTCACTTTCTTAAATGTGATGATTTGCTTGTTTTCTGTTTCACATCATTGTGAATTAAATATCTTTGGGTTATGACTGTCGGTTGGGCTAAACCAGCAATTTAAAGATGTCACCCAGGGCTTCTGGGAAATTGTTTTTCACAATCATCTGATATTTTATAACTATAATTAAATCAATGATCTCCTCCCTAAAAGGCACTGGGGTGGTTTAATAACTACTTCTGCCTTTGCGTCCAGGAAACAGAACAGGCAGAAGAGTTCACAAGGGGCAACAACGCTGTCATTTTTTTAGTGGAAATAATTTCAATGCAATAACATTGCAAACCTTTAAATACTGTATGTTTTGATGCCCTGTGTTTGTTGAGAGTGAGAGACGGAGAGGACAATGAGAGGGCGCAAGAGATAAAGACAGAGGGAAGGAGAGAAAGTGTAAGAGAGGAAGGGAGGGAGGAAGATAAAGAGAGACGGAAGACCCTCCAGCCGATTCAGCACCATGGACAGCGCTGCGGCGGGATTCAGCAACACAAGGCCGGAACAAGCTTTATCCTCAGAGAGAAAAGCCAAAAGCTGTTCCCAACATGCTCTGATCTCTCTCACTCTAACTCTCTTGCTCTCCTACACACACTTATCTCAAATCCATGTATTTCTCTTGCTCCCTCTTTCTCTCTCTCTCCTACACACACACACACACACACACACACACACACTCGTCATTGCCTCTCTCATAACAGTCTCTCCCCTGCCTGCCACACTCCCGAACAGTTTGTTTCTTATCATTTTTTTTGTGCGACTGCTCTCTTTGTGGATCAACATCAGAAAATTGTTGACAATGAGTCAAGCAGGCATGTGTGTGCGTGTCACTTGTGCCTGGTAAGCTGCTAGTTATTTATTTTATTTTCTCGCCCCAAGTTCTTAATTTGGAGAGGAAGCAAGAGTAGAGGAAGACTTTAAAAGGACACCACACACTAAACCGGTTGAGTGATCGATATTTAAACAGGACATGTGTGTTTGGTCCTTAGAGAGAAGAGTGCAATAAATGGACAGTGAGGACAGGAAAGAGAATTTAATGTAATGAACACAAGAAATAAAAAAAGTGAAATGAAAGTAAAACAGAGATGCAGACAAAAAGAGGGGTATAAAGAACATGACATGAGAAAGACAGAAAGAAGGACAATACTGTCTTGCTGCAAGGGATTTTTTATCTTGAAAATCAAGCTTACCATCATCCGTCATATTACTCAACCAGAACATTCAAAGCACAATATAGTAGTAACATAGTTCTTTTCAATAAAAAGAAAGAAAACTGACATTTATGTGAAATTGCCATATCTGACAAACTGAATCATAGTTACTCCCACCCCATAATAATTTGGATGGATTATAATACTGTGACTGTATCATTAATGAGACCAAAAGTTGCACTGGATGAGGTGTGCACTGCCAGGTGTCTGGAGATGTTGAGTCTCGTGTTACTTAGTAACACAGAAGACAGAATTGTTTTGCATGTCACTTTCTAATAACCATATAGTTGTATAGACTAAATTAGGGTTTAATCTCAGTGCCTGTGTGTAGTCTGCCAGACACATACACACATTTCCCTCGCAGGTGCCAATCAGACATACACAACCTGTCCACTTCCTACATCCTCTCTGCCCTTGCCAATATACAACACTAGCCAACAGGTCAATGAACCAATCAGTCAATCAAGCTCATCATGAGATAGATGCCACAGGCTGACAGATGACCGATGGCCCAATCAAGTAATTAACCAGCATTGATTTGTTAGTGCTACAAGTGTTTGATTAAGAAGCATACAAGCTTGTTTTACAGAGAGGATTAGGGATGAATATTGGAAGAGAAGACTGTTCATTGACTTTGCTGGTGAAGTACGCACATATCTTTATTATTTTCTATGGAGATATATTAAGCATATTCATGTCACACCCGTTTATAAATTCAGAATGGAGTTAAAACATAGGTTATTCTTCTTAATAAAGACAAATCAACCAGTAGGTATGGAGGAGAAGAGACTCTCAGAGCAATGCAGTCCTCACTGCAAAATTTCTATTGTTAGGGTTCATGAAACACACATTTTCTGAAGGAACATTTTAGATCGACCACCAGTATCTGTCAGCCTTGGCAACACTCAACCTAGTCTGGGGGATATTTTGTGTTACAAGAATTCAAGTCTTCTATTTTCCTTTCTTGGTGGAATAAAATTTGAACCAACACACTGATCAAAACAAATCGCCTTAGTTCAATCGGATTCAAAGGATGTTTCACTGGTGACTTCTGTTTTGAAACTGTGCTGATGGGTGGTATAGTACGTAGTAGTATTTCATATCCTCACCTCACCAATGACTGAGACAACATCAATCAGCTTCTACGTTTGAAGCATCACGTTGGTTTATGAAGAAATATAATAGTGCATTGGATTGACCTACCACTTCACACAGCCCTCTCTCCAATAGTGTCACTGTACTAAATTAAGGTCAGACCAAATTGGAAGAAAGCGCTGGCCAAAAGAGAATACCAGCCACCCAAAGGAGAACCACCATACGTCCAATCTCTAATTTAAGGAATGATATTTGGTCTCACATGGTTTCTTGGGAAGTTTGAGCATCATGAGCTCAGTGATATCCTGAGTCTTTTAGGAAAGCAGTTGTTGCTTTAAACCTGGAAGGAGAGGGTAGTGTAATCCCAGTACTCCTCTATTACTTTGACATTTTAGGAGTTGGCCAGTTTTCTGTCTTATCAGGAGATGAATGGGAAGTGTTTTGTCTGCATTCAGTAGAGTCTGACTGCTGTTTGGACGCGTTACGGCTTGTCTTCACAGGACCCATTTCAGCCTTGTTTTCCAATAGGCAGCCTCACGCGTGTCTCTATTTTAATCTATACAGCTGTCTACAAAGCTCTATTACACCGCATTCCGAAGGGTGTCTTTACGCTTCAAGTCTATTTTATTAGATTTTATGCACTGCTAAAAATTCTGGTGACCTACACTGCAGGACTGTGCCTGAACGCATGCTGCTTTCACTACGCAGCCTGTGTAGACATTGTGTTAGCTTGACACAGGGGATGTAGTTTGAGAAAAAAAAGGAGAAGAAATTGCAGAGTTGCAAGGTTACAGTTTAATGGAGCCAACATGAATGCCTCTCCTGATACATCCACCCCACCATGGACATCTATTGGTAGGGGGGCACAGAGAGAGAGAGAGAGAGAGAGAGAGAGATGTTTATATTACATAGTAAAATCTACAATGATAGTTATATAGAGAGAGGACAAAGC